CTTCCCTAAGTGGAGACTTTGCTTGGTACCTCGATGCCTCTCAAACAGGCACATGTCCTGGGCATCTGATGCCCAGCCCAGGTGCCACCCTTGTCTCCATCACCGTGCCTCCCCAATGCTTTACCTGTCTGGCCCCCAGGGTTTCCGGCCTTGGCTGCATTCACAGTCTCCAGGAAGATATCAAAGAGCAGCTCCATGTCCGAAGGGCCAGCCTGGTGCTCTGGGTGGAACTGGACACTGGAGAGAGGACAAGGGCGCCGATCCTGTCAGCACGGGTGTGGGCACGGGGTGCCGTGCGGGGCTTCTCTCTTCCACCTGCCACCCCCGGAGGAGCCGGCCCCCTCACCTGAAGAAGGGCAGGCTATGGTGGACGAGGCCTTCATTGGAGCGGTCATTGGCATTGGTGAAGAGCGGAAGCCAGCCTGCGGGCAGGGAGTCTGTCTCCACTGCAAACCCGTGGTTCTGGGAGGTCAGAAAGCAGCGCCCAGTGCCCGCCAGCAAGCACGGCTGGTTGTGGCCTCGGTTCCCGTACCTGCCGTGGACGCGGGCCGTGCCACCAGTCAGTCAGGTGCCCCTGCCCTCCACCCTGCCCGGCCCCCACGCCCATCCGCTCCCGACCAGTCTCACCCCATTTTGTACGTCTTGGCCCCAATGGCCAAGGCCAAGAGCTGGTGTCCGAGGCAGATCCCGAAGATGGGCCGGGGATTTGGTTCCGAAAGGACCCGGCCTAGCGCAGACACCACATCGGGATAGGCGGCAGGATCGCCGGGGCCGTTACTCAGGAAAAGTCCCTCGTACTCTGGAACGTGGGCAGGATAAAGAGACGTCAAACACTGACGACTCAGACCCATAAGCACCACAGCCCTCGGCCTGGCATCATGCCATGGGACGCAGGGGGAGACCAGCGCCCACTCACCCTGGCTGTCTAAGGCGTGGTCCCACGGGACCACGGTGACCTCGGCACCCCGCGAGCACAGGCATCGGATCTGGTTGTACTTGAGGCCACAGTCCAAGGCAAGGATCCGAGGAGAGCCCCCCGCGTTGAACACCCGCGGGGCCTGCGGGAGGGAGGGAGGAGAGGGAGGGAAGAACTGCCTCCCCGCGGGCCTCTTCACGCCTGTGCCCCAGCGGAGTGGCCCTCGGCTCCCTTCGGATCCTGAAACCCGCCGCTCCTGCCCTCACCCTCTCTGTACCTTAATGGAGACCTCTGGCACCAGGGGCCGGGAGTTGGGGTCCACGAAGGGCAGGGAGGAAGGCTCCGTCCCATCCTGGACCAGCTTCCCCAGCAGGGAGCCCTGTTCACGCAGCTTCTTGGTCAGCTCCCGGGTATCCACACCTGGGGAAAGGTACCATCGTGAGCAGCGCCAGGCCGCACCCCGAGCCGCGTCCGGTCCAGAGGTCCACGTCACGGGGGCAGCTGCTCTGTGGGCCCCAGCCCCTGCCCACTGCCAAGCACATACCCAGGCAGGAATCTCCCACGAAAACCCCACAGGTGAGCGCAATCAGGACCCTGAGGGTCCCAAGGGAGTGCCCGGGGAACACCACGGGGCCCGCACAGACCGAACGCGACACTCAGAGGGGAAAATGCCTCGAAGACTGGTTTTAAAGTCACCTGTGGGGCGGGGGGCTGGCCAGGACAACCCTTTCTTCCCCCCAGGCCCCAGCTGGAACCAGGTAAGCGCAGAGCACAATGTCATCGTGGCGGCTTCCCCTCCCAGCGGGGCCCCGCCATCTAGCCACGGTCCCTTCTGTCCAGGCACTGTCCAGGCACGTACCTTGCAGGCCGGGTATGCCGTGCTGACGCAGCCACTCATGCAGGCTGTGGGCGGCGCTCCAGTGGCTGGGCGTGGGGCAGCACTCTCCCACCACCAGGCCCGCCACATGGATCCCTGAGGACTCGAACCACTGTGGACAGAAGGAGGTGCCATGGGGCGGGGGCAGCACCCACCAGGGGCCTCCCCGTGCTCGTTCCTTTACTAACCACACGTCTGCTTACCCCCTAAAGAAAGACTACACACACAGCAAAGAAGCCTGATGAATGACTGGGGGAGGGGGCGCAAATTATTCTTACTTATCCCAGACGGAAATCACGAATGTCCTCTGCTGTGAAGACCCCTTAGGACTCCCTGAAATTTTTCTTGCTAGACAGTATTATTGGGCATGGGGGAGTGGGGTGGGGTGGGGGGACCTCCCCCCCAGAACCACGAACTCTTCAGAAGCAAGGCGATCTCTCAAGATCATCCTGAGCATCTAGCAGGTGCCAGGGAAAGGAATAACCCGGGAGGAGTCCTGGGCTCCCTGTCTATTAACTTGCTACTTAAGGATCTCATCTTGACAAGAGGTGAAGATGATTAAATTAGTCACTGTCCTCCCAGTGTTCATTCATTTGCTCAAGCGGGCACCAGTAACACTGTGAGACTTGTTACTGTGTGTGGCATATTGAATACGTCACAGGTAGCTTGCCAGGCTTTGCCATGCGGGCGAGATACTCTCGGTAGCTTGCCAGGCTCTCGGAGAGGGGCAGAGAAATCAAACTCGGGTCGGCCGCATGCAAGGCAAACGCCCTACCCACTGTGTTAAACAGTGAAGGGGGCTGGAGAGAATGAGTACAGCAGGTGGATGCTTGCTTGGCATGCAGCCGACCTGGGTCTCATCCCAGATACCCCATATGGCCCCCAATGGGGAGACCTGCTAAGAGTGAACCCTGAGCACAGAGGCAGGAGCAAACCCTGAGCACTGCACGTATGGTCCAAAAACCAAACAAAAAGAATCCACAATGATAAATGAAGTACACAATACCTCTCTCAATAAAAATAGGGGTTCGTAACCACATACACTTATATCTCCCCCTTAAGGCATTTGTTTTTAAAAATAACAGATGTAGGTCGGAGCAAGACTACAGTGGGCAAGGTGCTTCTCTCATACGCGGCCAATTTGAGTTTGATCCCAGGCATCCCATATGGTCCCCTGACCCCTGTCAGGAATAATTCCTGAGTGCAGAGCCAGGAGAAGCCCTGAGCACTGAGGGTGTAGCTCCCAAATAAACAAGAACTGAAATCGGAAATTAACTTATATCATACATCAGCGTTTTAAAAAAGAGGTAGTTAATGGGTCTGTCCTTCGGCTATACTCAGCGGTGCTCAGGGGTTCCATATGGGGTACCAGGGTTGAATACGGTAGGTCACTTACCCGCTGTACCATGGGCCCCACCTTTTTTATTCTTTGTTTTTGGGTCCACCCAGTGACACTCTCTGTACTCAGGAATCACTACTGGTGGCGACAGGGGACCATATGAGATGCTGGAGATTGAACCTGGGTCAGCAGCTTGCAAGGCAAATGCCCTATTTGCTGTACTATTGCTGTGGCCCCTCTGGCCCCACTTTTTTTGGGGGGGCGGGGGAGGCGGAGAAGAGCTGGGTTTGAATGCAAGGCTTTCTGGCTGAGCTCTAGTCCCAGGCCAGACGGTTTAGTAGGTACCTGAAGGGCAAGGCAGACCCTCACGGTTCAGGCATGCTAATGTGCTGAATGGCCACGCCCACCCCATGGCTTTGGACTGGGGAAGGCTCCAAGAGCTCCTGCCTCAACCCTCTAGCTGGGCCAGGGCCTCGGGTCTTGCAGGTTTATCAGCTCAATCTGTCAGCCTGCTACACTGCAGAGTGCAACACCTCGAGTAACCCAGGCTGCATCAGAAACTAGGGCAGTTCAGGGTGGCCCGGTGTCCTTTCCAAGAACAAGCGTGGCCTAGAGGGGCAAATCAGGAGTTCAAGGGAGAAAGAAAATAAAAACAAAACAAACAAGCAAGAAGGCAGGCCTGGGACTGGGACCAAAGGAGCTTTGTGGAAAACGCTGGCTTCGGTGAAACTTCTGCAATTAACTTGTTTTCACTTGTTTAACACTCGCATTGCTCCGAAGGCAACTTGGTTTCCAAGTTCCCAAGCGGCAGCCCAGCGAAAGCCTCGGTTGGAGGAAACAAGGTTTCTGAGCTAGGGCAGAGAACTTGTGCCCCGGAGCCAGCGTCAGAAAGAGCCGCCGGAGAAGCAGGTGGAGAACTACCTGCCCAGGCACTCTGGCAGAGGGGCGCGCCCCGGTCCCTGTCCCTTGCCCAGGAACCCCCGTGGCCTGAAAGCTCTGTCCTCATCTCCGACCTGCACCTGCCTCACTAAACCGGGACGCCGGGCTTCGGCCTGGGGGGGACGGGGGAGCGCTCGGAAGTTCTCGCTCCGCGCGCATCTTTGTTCTCTCCGGGGCGCGGCGGGGGGACCCACGCGGGACAGTGGGGCCGGGCGGCCTGGGCGCGGCTACCTTGCTGAGACCGAACTGGTCCACTTCGTCTGCAGGGATGCCGTAGTTGCCGATCAGAGGGTAGGTGAGCACTAGGATCTGGGCTTTGTAGGACGGGTCGGTCAGGGCCTCGGGGTAGCCCACCATGCCGGTCTGGAAGACTGCAAGAGAGAGGCGCTGGGGGGGACGCGGGGCCCGAGCCGCGGGGGCTGCGCGGGGCCGGGCGGGCCCCGGAGCGGGGGGCGGCGGGGGCGCGGGCGGGGGCGCGGCGGGGCCCGGGCGGGCAGGCCGGCCCGGCTGGCTTACCCACTTCCCCGGCAGTCGACACGGCGGCCCCGAAGGGCTGGCCCCGCAGGACCGACCCGTCCTCCAGCACCAGGGCCGCCATGGGAGCCCGCTCGCCCCGGCAGATGCTGGAGACACGTGAGGGCAGCGCGCCCGGCCGGTCCACGTGGCTGGGCGCGCGGCGGCGGCGGCGGGAGCGCGGGGGCCGGGAGCGCGCCGGGAGCGCGGGGCGGCGGCCACTGCGGCGGCGCGGGCGGCGGCGGCGTGCGGGGCGGGGCCGCGTCGGGGGCGGGGCCGCGCGGGCAGGTCGGGCGCCCCGCGGGGCCGGGACCCTCCCCGCCCGGGGGGCGCCTCCGGGCCCCAGCAGGAGATGCGCACGGAACAATCAGAATTTCTTTTTCTTTTTCTTTTAAAAAGGAATAAGGGGGAAAAAATAAAGAAACCAAACAAACGAGTTTATTACAATGAAACGGCACACAATGGGTCCCAGGTCCCGGTTCGGTCTCGGCCCCGCCCGGACTCCGCGAGCTCCAGGGCTGCCCGTTTCCCTCCTCCTTCCAGCGGCGGCCTCAGCCCCGAGGATCCGCCCGCCCGGGCAGCGATGCCAAGCAGCCCGGAAGAAGCGGAAGAAGCGCGCCCTGGCCGGGCCGAGCGCAAGCAAGATGCGCTCTCGGGCGGAAGCCCAGGGGAAGGGGGGCCTTCAGGACGCCTTGGCTTTGCGGCGCTGGGTGCCCCAGAGCGCGGCGGAGACGGCTAGCGTGGCGGATCCCAGAATCCCGGAGAACATAGGCAGTGGGAAAGAGCCCTGTGGATAACAAGCAGAATCCCACACCGCGTTAGGCCGGTACCCACCCCGGCCCACCCGACGCCACCCTCCACCCGCGTCCTTCTCGGGGGTCCGCCTCAGCTCCGGGGCGGGCTCGGGACTGTCGCCCAGGGAACTGGACCTGTCCCTCCCGCCTCACCTGGCGCATGCACTTGTAGCCGTGGAAACCGTCGGCACAAACACACTGCAAGAGACCTGGGCCATTGGGCGCGCAGGAGCCGTTCTCGGGACACAGTGCTAGGAGACAGGAGACCGAACATCCCTGGCCGCGTTTGCTACGTTTCTCACACAATCCCCTTCCACTGAGTCTCAGTTTACTCGGTGGAAGGCAGAAGACGGCAGATAACTGTGACTGTAGTAACAATATTATCCACCCTCCCCCCTCCGCAGAGGCAGGAGAGGGGGGTGGGATACTGGGGACGTTGGTGGTGGAGAATGTGCACTGGTGGAGGGATGAGTGTTCCACATTGTATGACTGAAACTCAAACATGAAAGCTTTGTAACTGTATCTCATGGTGATTCAAAAAGAAAAAAAAATTCTTTCCTTTCCTGAGGCTTTAGATCCACAGGACCCGACAAGAAAAGGCATTTAAGGAAATCATCTGTCTGTTCTGAGGTGCAGAACACAAGCAAGGCTGTGCCCACAGGACCACATACCTGGGTCTCTGGTGTCATTGCAAAGATTCCTTTGTCCCAGGCAGGTTCTGTTCTCTTTACCATCAGTGACATTATCCCAGGCCTTGATTCCTCCAGGACACTTGACGTCCCGCGGCAGGACCCTGAACACACATGGTAGCCATGCTCTATATGTGGCCGGCCTCAGCACTGGCCCTCTTTGATTCACACACCCCACTCTCCACCTCACTCACAGAGTCTGGAGCTGGGTGAAGCCACGGAAGGTGTCGGTCAAGTTCTCCTTCAGGGGGTTTGCTTGCAGGTCTCTGGAAGGCACAGGGTTAGCGCTATGCTCCAGGGCAACACCCACTTCCGCTCACACATCGACCTGGACGGCTGCCCAGGTCTCTGAGTCATCAGTGTTTACATCGTTTAGGAGTCCAGCCTACCACTATTCTCCAGCCCACCGACTTCACCTTGTGGGAGGAGGAGAACTGACCACTTACATGATGACCGCAGTGAGCGCCTGAGGAAAGTGTGGACCGGGATCCTTCAGGGAACAGTTCTGGAGATCCAGCCTGGAGAAAAAAAGTCCCCCATGTCGTGGAGCTTTTTCCCTCTCTGCATCCACACACGGTAAGCCACCACACCCCCCTTTCAGCTCACAGCAATTGAACCTAGCAGCTTGGAGCCCTGTGCTCCGGTGGCAGGCCAATTCAGTTGCCCCTGAGTAGACGTAATGAAATTAAAGTTGTCAGGAACCAGAGAACTAGTACAGCAAGCAGAGTGCTTGCATCGCAGGCAGCCGACCTGGGTTTGTTCCCTGGCACCGCATAAGGTCTCCTGACATAAGCACGGCCAGGAGTGATCCCTGAGCGCAGAGCCAGGAATAAGCCCTGAACACTGCCAGGTGTGGCCCCCAAACCAAAAAACCAAAAAATGAAAATCATTTTTCAGTTTGTGTTAGCCATACTTCAAACGTCCAACAACCAGTAACATGTGGTCAGAGGCTACCGTGTGAGAGAGTAAAGATATGGAACGTTTCTACATACCTATACATCTCTGCATATACTTGGGGCGGGGGAATTCCAAGTATATTTTCTACCAGACTAGATGTAAACTATGAAGACACATTAGTTTTGCTTCCAAAGCTATTTGTTCCTTTGAATTTCTAATTTCTTTGGGCCACACCCAGCAGTGCTTAGGGGCTATTCCTGGCTCTGTGCTTCTGTGCTCAGGAGTGGCCCCTGACAATGCTCAGGGGACCATGTGTGGAGACCTAATGGAAGTCAATTACAAGTAAGGCGAGCACCTTACCTCCTGTGTTATATCTCAGGCCCTAAGTTTGGTTACTTTTTTTTTGGGGGGGGGGGAGAATACCTGGCTCAGGGGTACCTCCTGGTTTTGCACTCAGGAATTACTCCTAACAGTGCATGGGGGGCCCATATGAGATGATGGGGATTGAACCCAGGTCAGTTGTGTGCAAGGCAATTGACCTACCTGCTGTACTATTCTGTTAGCATACCAGCCCCCCCACCCCACCCAGCCATTTTCTTTATTCTCAGACACTTACTATTTATTAGAGGAAAAATTAGGAATTAGGGGAATTATTTATTTTCGATTTGGGGCCACACCCAGCAGTGCTTAGAGCTTACTCCTGGCTCTGTACACAAGAATCATTCCTGGTGAGTGCTGGGGACCATATAGGGGTGCCAGGGATTGAACCTGGATCTGCGGCATGCAAGTTAAGTGTCCTACCTGCTTTACTGTCGCTCCAGACCAACTATTTTAGATTTTTCTGGGTCACACCCAGAAGTTCTCAGGATCGCTCTTGGTGGGGGGGTTGGGGTGCCAGGGACTGAACCCTGGATAAGAAGCGTGAAAGGCAATTGCTTACCCAATGAACTACGGTTCCAACTCCCTTTTGGGCCACATTCAGCAATGCTCAGGGCTTATTCCTAGCTCTATGCTCAGGGTTCATTCGTGATGGGGCTTGTGGGACTATGTGGAGTGCCAGGGGTTGAACCTTGGTCAGCTGCATGCAAAGCAAGTGCCCTCCCTGCTGTACTATCAAGAAGAATTTCTTAACCCTCCATATGGTCGGCGAGATCACTCAAAGGGCTGGAATACAAGCTTTCTATGATGGAGCCCAGGGTTTGATCCTGGGTGCGCAATCAGGAGCACTGAGCGTGGAGTACCTTAGCAGAACCAGGTGTGGCCCCAAAATCAAAACTAAAAGACTCAGACTGGATGACAGCACAGCAGACAGGGCACTTGTCTCGCATGTGGCTGTCTGGGTTTGACCTGCAGCCCTCTCATATGGCCCCCTGAGCCTTGCTTGGGGTGATCCCTGAGTGCAGAGCCCAGAGTAACCAGATCACCACTGGGTATGGCCCCCAAACTAAAACTAAAACAAGCAAACAAAACGAAACAAAAATAAAAACCTTGGGGTTGGGGTCTAAGAGAAAGTGTAGTCCATAGGGCACCTGTCTTTCACACAGCCAACCTGTTTCCAATTCTTGGCATCCCATATGGTCCCCCGAGAACCACCAGGAGTGATTCTGGTCCCCCCAGCTCCCCAAACACCAGGAGTGATTCCTGGGCAAGAGCCAGTGATAAACTGAGTACTTCCTAGTGTAGCTCCAAAAATTAAAAAACAAAACAAAAAAACAACCCTCGAAGCCAAAGTGACAGCACAGTGGGTAGGGCATTAGTCTCACACACAGACAACCCAGGATAGGTCTCCTGGGCACTGCCAGGAGTGATCCCTGAGCACAGAGTCAAGAGCAAACCCAGAGCACTTCTAGCGGTGGCCCAAAACCAAAATAAAACAAACAAAAAGCCCAAATCCCTCAGGTCTCAGCTTTCAACCGGCTTACAAGCCCATTACCAAAAATACAAATAAATTTACAACAGAAAAGAAAATCACAGAACAATGAAGAATAGGGCTTTCAAAAGACTTTCCCAAGATGTTCCAGCATACTTTCTCCAGTAGGTCACTTTGTCAGGAGGAACTAAAATCAACCAGGGCCCTGAGGGCTTCAGGAGAAACCTTTAAAGAATGAAGAGTTCCCAGATTTAGGAAGTCTGCAATTCTTTCGTTTGTTTGTACCTTTTTATCAGAGATTCTGATCTCACTGCAGGCAAAGGCCTAGAAAATCTGGCTTGGTTACACTCTACAGACCCCACCTTCCTCCCAGGAATAAAGGAGATTGAGAACAGCACCCTCCATGACAGTTTAAGAATATAAACGCTCAGTCGGTCTCATTTATAGCCATGTTTTCTGTACATAATGTCCTTCCGATCTGTTGTTTGCTTCACTAACCTCAGATGAACCAAGTGGGGTGGCTCAAAATTGGATGTAGGGGCTGGAGCGGGTAGGGTGTTTGCCTTGCACGCGGCCGACCTGAGTTCGATTCCCAGCATCCCACATGGTCCTCTGAGCGCCACCAGGTGTAATTCCTGAGTGCAGAGTCAGGAATAACCCCTGTGCATTGCCAGGTGTGACCCAAAAAGAAAAAAAAAAAATTGGATGTAAATTTGAGCAATTGACTTGAAGGAATAGAGGAAGTTTTCAAAAAGTAGGAAACACAAAAAAGATGTTGGAATTGGAGGATAGATATGTACTCATTGGGTGCTAGGACACAATCTCAGGAACGCATGGTTTTAACAAAGAAACAAAGGCAGAATACCTTTGGAGTCCGGCAAGCCTGGATGAGGTCAGACCTCAGTGGACAGTTGGGAATGGATAAAAAAAATTGGGCACAATGTTGGAATGATGGGCTGGGAGCAGCTGATATAGTATGTGGTATAAACTTTATCCTGAGGGCAATAGTTACAAGTCCTATTTTGAAACTGGAGAATAATTATGAAAAAAAATTGGTTTTCAAGAAATAGTACAGGGTCTAAGGTCTTGCATTCAGTGAACCCTGGTTTGATACCTGGTACCACATATGGTCAAGTCCCATGCCCCCCCACCCCCCATTGCCCCCAAAGTGCAGAGCCAAAAGTACTACTGGGTGGTCCAAAAACCAAACAAAACCAAACAGGGTCAGGGTATGGCTCAGCTGCTTTGCAAGGGGAGATTGAGTTTGAGCCCCCTGTATGGCCTCTGCAGCTCTGCCAAGTAGGGAGCCCCAACATGTAGCAAGAGCCCCAGCAGAGGGGCTGGAGTGATAGCACGGCGGGTACGGTGTTTGCCTTGCACGCGGCCGACCTGACCCGGGTTTGATTCCCAGCATCCCATATGGTCCCCTGAGCACCGCCAGGAGTAATTCCTGAGTGCAGAACCAGGAGTGACCCCTGTGCATCGCCGGATGTGACCAAAAAGCAAAAAATAAATAAATAAAAGAGCCCTAGCAGTGTGTGTGACGTCCTCACAAGCCAGGCATGAAAGGGCTTGAGCCCCGACCCCCAGTCATCACAACAAAGAGGAAACTTTATCTTTTTTTTTTTTTTTTTGCTTTTTGGGTCACACCTGGCGATGCACAGGAGTTACTCCTGGCGGTGCTCAGGGGACCATATGGGATGCTGAGAATCGAACCCGGGTCGGCGGTGTGCAAGGTAAACGCTCTACCTGCTGTGCTATCTCTCCAGCCACCAAAGAGGAAATTTTAAAAAATTATTTTTACTGATTTTATTTGGGCCCCCCCCAAACTGTGTCAGAGAAGGTCACTCCTGGCAGTGTCAGAACACTGGGCCGGAGGGTTCAATGCTTAGACCCAGCAGTGCCAAGGGCCACCACGGCTGCTTGGGTGACAGGGACGGGGCTGCAGAGGCACAGAGGCATCCAAACGTGTCTCCTGACCCCTGAGCTATTTCCCTAGTCTCCCTTCCTCAAGTTTCTTAAAACTGAAAAGTAAAAGTAAGTAAAGGCCCTCCCGTTGATCATCGATTTGCTCGAGCGGGCCCAGTAACGTCTCCATTGGAGACTTTGTTGTTACTGTGTCTGGCATATCGAATACTCTCGGTAGCTTGCCGGGCTCTCTGAGAGGGGCGGAGGAATCGAACTCAGGTCATCCATGTTGGCTGCGTGCAAGGCAGACGCCCTACCCGCTGTGCTATCGCTCCAGCGATAAATTGAAAAAATAAAACTAAAAACACTAGCCAAAAATTATGACTTCTGCAACCAGGGAGAATCAGGAGGTTATTTTTCAAGTCAAAAATGCTATTACCGGGGCTGGTGTGACAGCACAGGGGTAGGGGGTTCACCTTGCATGCAGCAGACCTAGGTTCGATTCCCAGCATCCCATATGGTCCCCTGAGCACCGCCAGGAGTAATTCCTGAGTGCATGAGCCAGGAGTAACCCCTGTGCATCTCCGAGTGTGACCCCAAAAGCAAAAAAAAAAATGCTATTACGTATATTTATATAGTTATAAGCACCCAAGGCTCAATCCTTAACATGTTACTAATCTCTTCTAGAAGGGCTGGGTGATATACAACAATCTTCATAAACTTTCCTCTAAGAAACCCTTTTTGTCTCATTTTTTGCAGATTATTCATAATAATCATAATAATCTGCAATACAAAATAAATTATTTCGGTTCTGCTTGGGGGGCAAGGTTTGGGATTCGGGATGGAAATATGGTGATGGGATTGGTGTTCTAATAGTAAACGTAACCAAATTTGTGAACAACTTTATAAAAATAAAATTTTTTTAAAATGCTATTACGAATTTTAAAGTGAGAATCATGGTTTTGATGCCCCCAAAATTAAAACTCCAAAATTTATCTCAGGAGGCTTGCTTGGTCAAGCCCAGGTTCTCCCTTGAACACGTGTTTCTCTTCCTGCTTTTTCCACTCTGGAGAAGGCCGTATTCTCTTCTGTGTTTTCGTTTTGGGGCCACTCATGGCTGTGCTCATGACTTTACTGGCTCTCAGTGGACCACACAGGACACCAGGGACTGAACCCAGGTTGGCTGTGTCTAACTTACCCCGCCACACTATCTCCAACCCCACTATTCTCTGGGGAACACTATTTCTCCTTTCTCCCCCCACATCCTGCGGTGTCCTTCAAAGGAAGTTTTATTCAATAGAATCCATCTTACTTCACACCCACAAGTATCCCAGGAGACACTTAAGCAAGTCTTTAAAAGAGGAAATTCCGGTCTGGAGTGCGCTGCGCAGCCCTAAAATCCCTGAGCCTCCTGGAGTTATTATTAACCCTGAGCGCAGAGCCAGGAGTGAGCACTGAGCAAGGCCAGGTGTCCCCCCCCCACACACACACACACAACACACACACACCACAGGTGTCCCTCCCCTATACACACACAAACACACAACTCACATACACACAGGTGTCCCCCCCTACACACACACACACACACCTCTCCCACCCCAAGAAAGCTCTTGCAGTTTGCAGGGATTCTTTTCTCCCTCACCCCAGGATGGTGCCCTTCTGATTTAGGCAGCAGCGGGCATGCAGCATTAGCGCAGGCGTCTGCTTACAATAACGGGCCACTTCGGACACGTTTTGCACGCTCCCGGGACACTCTTGGCAGATCTGCGGAAGACACAAATCCATTAGGACTCGAGAAAGAGAGAGTGAGAGAAAGAGAGAGAGAGAGCAGGCAAGGACAGAACAAGCCGGGATTCCAACGTGCAGTTCCAGACACCTCTCGGGAACTGCACCCCGCGGAGGGCGTCGTGCCGCCTCTTAGTCGACCCCTTGCCCCGGCCACCACGCCGGCGCGGCGGCGGCTTCACGCGGCCGCCGGTGCCATGGGAGCCGCACCTTCGAGGACGGCCACCCGGACGGCCTTCTCGTGCCCTGTCCCGTGACTGCCCGCGGACACCCGCCTGCAGCTCGGCCGACGGGGAGCGGGCGGCGGGGACGCGGCGCCGCGAGCGTTCCCTCCCGCGGACCCGCACCGGACCCGTCGGGGCAAAGGGCAACCCGGAGCCCTTCCGAGATCGGGGAGCTAGGGGGTCAAAGTGCAAAGGTCTGTGGATTCCGGCGGGGCCGGGACGGCGGGCGAGCGGCGGGGCGTCTGAGTGGCCGCGGACCCCCGCGGCCGCGGCCGGGGGGCGGGGGGCAGCCGAGGCGACCCGGCCCGCGGCTGGCCGGCCACCCTGCTCCAGGCCGGCCCCTAACTTGCGTCGGTACCTCGGGGGGCGCCAGAGCCGCTTCCACGCCCAGGGCGAGGAGCAGGGCAGCCGCGCAGGGCGCCAGGCTCGCGGGTCCGCCGGGCCCGCGACGGGCCATTTTCCGCCCGGGTGAGGATTCGCCCAGCTGTCGCGAGACCTGCGCCGGGGGCGTGGCTCCGCCGGCCGAGACCCGCCCCTTCGCCCCGCCCCCCGGGAGGAGGCGGCGGCGGGCTGCGCCGGGGTCTGTCGCCGCGAGCGGTGGTCGTGCGGCACAGCGTGCTCTTCTCGGGCAGCCCCGGCCCGCGAGGGACCCGTCCCGCCCTCCCCTGTCCCCGCGTCCGCCGCGACGGCCCGCTCGCCACCCGTGCGCAGCCCGAGCCCCGCCCCTCGGACGCCCGGGCCGCGGCGGGCAAGCGCCGCTTCCGCCCTCACTCGACATGGCGGCGCGGGGGCCGGCCGGGGGCGGGGCCCGGTGTCAAGAGGCCGCGCCGCGGCGGACCCGGCTCCCGGCCGCCCGGCGGCCCACGTGGAGACCCGGCAGGTGGGCCGGCCGGGGGTGGGGCCGCGCGCGCCGAGGCCGCCGCTGAGAGGCTGCCGGGGCCTCCGGGGCGGGGTGGGGGGGCGAGCCCGGCGGGCCGGCCCCGCGCCGGCGGCGGCGGGGCCCGCGCAGCCCCGGAGCGCCCGGCGGGGTGTAGGTGGTCCCGCCGCTTCACGTGGGGAGGGGAGGGGAGGCGGGCGGCCGGGCCATAAAAGAGGGCAGGGGTGAAGGAGGAGCGCGCCGAGCGAAGGGCACAGCCGGGCGCGCCGAGACGAGCCCGCGGACGCGCCGGACGCCCGCCCTGCCCGTCCCCTGGCGGCCGCCGTGCGGCGCGCGGACGACCCGGAGGTAGGCGCGGGCCGCCCGCCGCCCTCGCGCGCGGCTCCTTTGCCTCGCCAGGGCGGGAGCGATGCTGATCCCGAGAGCGCGGGCACCTGCCTGGCCCTGGCCGGGACCGGAGGGAGGGCGGCATTGTCCCCAGGGCGGCCGCGGCGACCAGGGGGCCGGCGCGGAGCTCAGCGCGGCTCCTGCCAGCCGCCCCGCACTCGCGCCCCGCTCCCCTCCCAGGTACCTTCATCGGGGATCTCTGCAAATCCCCACTCCCGGGGCCTCTTGGACCTTGGGGACTCCTGAGCACAGGGTCTGGGAATTTTGTTTGCTTGGGGTTTTTTTTTTTTTCATTCCTTTTTCTTTGGGGGGGGCAACACCCGTTGGTGCTCAGGGGTGGGTTACTCCTGGCTCTGCACTCAGGAATCACTCCAGGGGGTGCAGTGCAGTGCAGTCCAGGGGGGCGGGGAACCATCTCGGATGCCAGGGATCAGGAATCTGGGGTCCAGCAAACCTGGGTTGGCTGTGTGCAAGGCAAGCGCCCTACCTGCTCTCCTATCCTTCTGGCCCCGGGTTTTGTTTGGGGAGGGGGGCGGTGTTTGTTTTGGAGGCACCTGGTATTTGGGGTGTGCTTCTTCCCTGCTTGTTGATCTGGGCTGCCTGGGAGACACTACAGGTGGTGCTGGGGTTCCAACCTGGCCTGGAGCATGCAAAGCCGGCTTAGCCCCTTGAGTTCCCTCCAGGCCCCAAGGGCAGATTTTGAAAGAATGGACCAGAGGAGCCGGCGGGATGGGAGGGGAGGGGATTGGCCCCTGCTGTGGCTTCCCTGCCTTTGCAAAGCCGGCAAAGCTCTCCCGAGTAATGGGTAACCAGAACGTGGTGGGGTGACCTCAGGGGACTGGGGCGTTGTTTCCACCCTTTCACAGGCTCCTCCAGCCACTCTTTGTCCCCCAGGAGTGTCCCCCATGTGTTAATGGGTTTCAGCTCTGCGCTTTGGCTCGCTCTTTCTCAGAGAGCTGCTGAGCCCCAGGTGTAGGTCAGTGAAGGTTTTCTAGAATGGCACAATCCTGTCCTCGGACTCCTCATTGGTGAAGGCTTTGTGGCGGCCTCAGCTTTCTCCTGTCTTCTCTCGCCTCTCACTCACCATCCTGCCGGCCCAGAGGCTTCCCCACACCGCCAGAAATCTGCCCGGAAGCCAGTTTAGCCCAGGCGTGGGGAGCCTCCTGTCCTGAACCTTCCCAGGCCCGTCTTCACAGAGACCTTCTGTCTTTCCCCAGCCCTGCGCGGATCCCTTTTACCATCACCCGTTCTTGCTTGCGCACAGAATACGCTGCTGCTCTTTTTCTCTGTCACCCCTGTCAGCTTCCCATCACCGCTGACGGAACAGTGGGCATCTGCCGGAAGAGAGGGAAATCTCAGATGTGGCGGTCTGGAAAGGCCTACGACATCTTCCGGTTACACCAGAGAGTTCTGTTGGGAACGTTGTTCCGGGGACCATGTGATCCCGGCATTGCCAGGTCTGGTTCGCCTCTTCACCGGCCCCACGAGGGTCAGAGTTCAGGTTTGGTTTGCAGGAGGCCCCGTCTTGCCAGCCAGACCATAGCCGCCCAAGAACGTAGTGTGAGGGAACCAGACGTCAAGTCGGGATGATCTTTCTCCCAGTGGGCAGGAACAGAGATCACTCGTATTAATATCTCTCTAAATTGGTTGAAATCTAAACTTTGTTCGCTGGATGGCTGACTACAGTTAATGTTCTCCTGCCCTGGGGTGGAGGACAGTGTGCCCGGGGAGTCGCTGATGGCATACCTTTCTCCCTTGGCCTGTTTTAGCGCCGGACTCTCACTTCTGCATCTCAGTTTTCTTAAGCACCGGAGAGTATTCGTATAAAATCTGTCACCTGGTGATCAGGCTGTTTAGAAAGCTAGAACTTTATTTATTTATTTTTTTTGTTTGGGGGCCAGCAGTGGTCCGGTTTTACTCCTTTTCCTGTGCTTAGTCCTGGCTCTGCACTCGGGGATCATTCCAGGGCTCGGGGGACCATATGGGATGCCAGGGACTGAACCTGGGCTAGCCATGTGCTGAGCAAGATACCTGGCCTGCTTTATTGGCTCCAGCCCCTTGTGACTTCCTTCTTTATTATTTATCACTACTCATGTTTACAAAGCATACAGCACAGGCCCGATGGGCTCGCAGCATAAAAAAATACCATAAGGCTATTTTGGCTTTCCCTGGTGTGTGTGTGTGTGTGTGTGTGTGTATATGTATATATATATATATATATTTTTTTTTTTTTCTGCCCAGGCCAGTAAACACTGCAGGGAGTAACCTCTAACAGAAAGCCCTGCGGGACAGACAAGGGCTTCATGGGGGCAACCACTGGCTCCAGGTCTGTCGCCTCTGACAGGGAGATGGTTCTGAAACAGCACATCGGAGCCCTTCCGAGGTGTAAACGAGAGGACTGTGCTAGGGACCGTGGCCGGTTTGTCGACGTTCTGGTGTGTCAGTGAAGTTTGGACCGAGATGGAGTGGGCGCCGTCTGTGCTCTGCAGAACCGCTGAGGAGACTGGCCAGGCGCTGGCCCCGGGACAGTGAGCCGGGCTCCCAGTGGTCAAGCTGCATCCCCTTCCTGGCCCTTTTCGCTTGTGGTTGGGATCACCGGGAACAGCACCTGCTGGGCTCACACACAGTTTTGCTAGTGATAATTTTGGGAGGGTCACCACCACACCACGGCGCTCAGGCAGGCCTGGGGTAGAGGGCAGCACTGGGGAATCACTAAGGGGTCATGCTGTCGTTGCAGCGTCCCAGAGGTCACCCTCTACGGCCGTGTGGGCAGAACCAGGGTTCCATTCTGTGGCCTCCTGCTGGTAGGGTGGTGTCTCACCACTGAGCTGGCCCCGGCCTGGCCCATGCAGATGTTTGCAGCACAGGGCTGGGTGTAGCTTCGCAGCAGGGACTGTGGGAGACCCCCGGTTCAGGCCCTGGGCCCCAGGAAGAGCATTTCCCCTTCGTCTTGGGTTTCTCGGGCTTGGGGCTCTCCCCAAAGTCAGGGCACACGTGTGCCGGGCGCCTCCCCTTTATCTCAGGACCGTGGTTCCTCCTCTGAGGGTGCCGGTTTCCTCTGCAGGAGTCAGAAAAGCAACTGGCCCGCCTTCCCCGGGCCCTGCCTACCCGGTGCCAAGCGCGGCTCTGAGTGCCACCTAATCCAGCCAGGAATGCCGCCAGGCTTCGCCCCTGCTCCCCACTGTTCCCGAGGCCTCGGGGCCTGAGCTGGGGTTCGGGGGCCACCGGGAGATGGGGCCAGGACAAAATAGCCGCTGAGCTCAGCTCTCGCCACTCCTCGGCCCGGGCCCTGGGAAGCAGGGGCGGGGCTGCCTCTTCGAGTAGGCGTCTCCCCAGAGGTTCAGGGCGGCCCTGTCTACCTTCTGTCCCAGGCCTAGGGCCTGTCCCCAGTTCTAGCTCTTCCCCTCTGGTGTTCGGGCCCCTCCTGGCACAGTCGAGGCCTCATGTTACACACAGGTAGCTAGCGGGGTGGGAGGGAGGGGCAGGGCTCACCGGGTGGTGATGGGGAGGAGCTTGAGAAACGGGGGTGGGGTGGGTTGGGGGGGCACTTGCTTTGCACATGGCTCACCCAGGTCCGATCCTCCCCACATCCCCTGTGGTCTGAGCGTCGCCCAGAGTAACTCCTGAGCATCGGGTGTGTCCACCTCTCCCCCCAAGTAAAAGAAAAGCGCCCCCAGGGGATCAGGGTATGGCTCGCTAGAGTATGACGGCCTGGGTTCGAGCCCAGCACCCCACACAGGGAGGAAAAAGAAAAGAAAGATCCAGGGACTGGGTGGTGTGGGATGCCCAGGGTGGGGTTTGGGGTGACCGTGGAGGTGCTCTCCCCCGCAGGGGGCCTCATGAGGGGGCCTGCTGGGGACGCGGTGGGGGGGTGAGGGTGGGAGGGGGTCTGCGGGATGGGGAAGGGCAGGCAGCCTTGGGCCTGCGACGCTTCCCCACTGGGCCTTGGCGCCGGGCTGGGTCCTTCTGGCGTCCTGCGTCTTCGTGGCGGCTGGCCGGGGCCTGCGGGGCAGCAGGGGGCTTGAGGCTTTTGGGCTTGGGCTGCGTTTTCTTTGAGGGCGGAGACCTGAGCGTGCTCTCGCATTTCTCAGCCGTGTCCACTCCAAAGGCCAGCGGGCTAGTGCTCGTCCCCCCTCCCGCCTTCCCCTGCTCCTCTCTCCTCCGTTTTCCCAGGACGCACGGGCCAGGGGAGGCGGGCGGCGGAGATGGGCCGGCCTGACCTGGAGTCGGTTCCTTTGCAGCAGCCCCTGGACAATGTCACTTGGCTGAGGACCGTGACACAGTGGCCGGGAGCCCAGTGGCCTCCACCCACCCGCCTCTGTCCGCCCCGCCGAGAGGCCGCCCGCAGCCGAGGGACCGCAGGTAGCCAAAGGCCCCCGAGCACAGAGCGATGAGCGTGGGGGGCCGCACCGACGCCCCCGTCCCCCCCCTCACGGACACCACCAGCCCGGTCTCGTCCTCCTTCTCCACCGTGGACTATGTGGTCTTCGTCCTGCTCCTGGTCCTGTCTCTCGCCATCGGTCTCTACCATGCGTGCCGGGGCTGGGGCCGGCACACCATGGGCCAGCTGCTGATGGCGGACCGCAAAATGGGCTGCCTGCCAGTGGCCCTGTCCCTGCTGGCCACCTTCCAGTCCGCCGTGGCCATCCTGGGGGTGCCGTCGGAGATCTACCGGTTCGGGACGCAGTACTGGTTCCTGGGCTGCTCGTACCTCCTGGGGCTGCTCATCCCCGCCCACGTCTTCATCCCCATCTTCTACCGCCTGCATCTCACCAGCGCCTATGAGGTGAGCGGGCACAGGGCCAGGGGAGGAGGGCGCCAACCCAGCACCCCTGCCTGGTGCGGGGGACAGGGCCGCGTGGTGCAGTTACAAGTTCTGGGGGAAGTCAGGCCGTTAGGGGCGTGGGGGGAGGGGGTCGCCATCCGTCGATGGGAGCCAGGTACTGCTTCCAGGTTCCTGGGTTCCTTGCGGGGCTTGACCTTTGGGGGGCATCGGGTGCAGGGCCTCGGGAGAGCCGTTGTGCGTGCGGCCCGGGCCCCAGTGCCTCCCCTCCCTCTGCTCCTTCCCAGTACCTAGAGCTGCGGTTCAACAAGGCCGTGCGGATGTGCGGCACCGTGACCTTCATCTTCCAGATGGTAAGTGGCGCAAGCGGCGGAGCTGTTCCCAAGGGTGCTGTTGGGGCCACTGTCCCCCAGGCCCCTCCCCACGTGCCCCCTCCCCCCACTTCCCGCTCTAGCCTCGAGCCCAGATTTGGAAGAAGAGGAAGGAGGCGAGGGGAAGGTGTTGCTGGAGGATGTCCAGCTGGCCTCCCCCTTGCCCATCCTGCTCTCCCCGTCTCACGGCCCTTCTCCCCGGCAGGTGATCTACATGGGCGTGGTCCTCTACGCCCCGTCCCTGGCCCTCAATGCAGGTGAGAGGCCGCAGGCTCCTCCACAGGCCCCCTGGGAAAAGGGCTGCGGGAGGGGCAGGCAGGAGCCTGGCTTCCACACCCGTGGCCGGTCTGCCCAGGCAAAGGAGCTTTGCCCCCCTCCTTGGAGAGAGGAGCGAACATTGCCCCTTCTGATGTGGTTAATCACCACCTTTTGGTGGAGCCCCGTAAGTGGTCACGGCTGACATGGCGAATGATTGATTTCGTGGCGAATGATTGACGTCCGGTCTGGGGCTTCTGTGGGGGGTGCCGGCCCCTCCCTCCCGGGCTGCTCTGGCTGGCTTCCCCCCAACAGAGCCCCCACGAGGCAGGGCTGTGCCTTTTCTCTGTCTACAGTCACTGGGTTTGACCTCTGGATGTCAGTGCTAACCCTGGGCATCGTCTGCACCATCTACACTGCTCTGGTGAGTGCTGAGAAGAGACGGAGGGAGTGGGGGTGGGGGGAGGGGAAGGAAGGCGGGAGGCGGGAGAGACTCTGAGACAGGAGGATGACGTGTCCTCGTGTCCTGGGGCAGTAGGCAGCTGGAGGTCTGCAGCTGCATGTGGGAACATTGCTGGCTGACATAGCCTGGTGGGAAGACGCCCTGCAGTGAGGTGGTGGTTAGGGGGTTGGGATCCCACCAGAGAGATAGTACGGTGGGTAGCGCTCTTGCCTTGGACCCTTGGACCGGGCCAACCTGGGTTTGATCACTGGCATCCCACCTGGTCCCCAAGCGCAGAAGTGATTCCCAAGCATCGCTGTGTATGGCCCAAAACAACAACAAAAAATTTACCAGGAGATGGTTGAGGCCGAGTAAAATCAGTTTATTGAAGAGTCCACTGGCCGGACTGGCTCTTGGAGGCCTCCAGAGGTGACCTGAGTAGCATTTGTCGGGGACACCAGCAATTTCTGGGCTGCTTCGGAGGAAAACTTTTATTTCAAAAATGAGTTATTTCCAAGGAGGGAGCGAGCAGGGGTCAGGTACTCAATGTGTGGGAGAAAGTAAATTGTATGTAGAATATTCTAAGTCCCATAAAAATGACATAGATTCACAGAGTAATTTAAATTAACAATGAGGTGTTCTAAGCCAATCCTATAGGGACAATGAAATGTGAATCAAATAATTTTAGCTTACCCCGGGAAGGGTGTGATGTGGCCAGTTCTAGGAATTTTCGTGGCAGAGGCATAGAATGGATGTCTCGCTGGGCCAGATTCTTCCAGCAGGGGCACCGCAGCCAGTTCTAGGAACTGCAGGGCAGAGTGATGGGCCAGAGAGATAGTACAGGGGAGGGTGCTTGTCTTGCTTGCAGCTGCCCCTGGTTCGATCTCTGACACCCCACCTGGTCCCCGGAGTACTGCCAGGTGTGGCCCTAAAACAAAGCCACAGAGTGGAGCTGGTTATCGTAGCAGGGAGAGTCCGTCTCGGCCTGCCTGGCCGTATGAAGTGGGGGCTTCCACAGGGCCGCCGTCGGGGGCCCTTTTCCTCGGGCGGTCTGACTGCCGGGCGCTATCTCCCCGCAGGGAGGGCTGAAGGCCGTCATCTGGACAGACGTGTTCCAGACGCTCGTCATGTTCCTGGGCCAGCTCACCGTCATCATCGTGGGCTCGGCCAAGGTGGGCGGCCTGGGGCGTGTGTGGGAGGTGGCCTCCCAGCACGACCTCATCGCCGGGCTCGAGTGAGTACCTCGCTCCCTTGGGCCCACAGTGGCGCCCGGGGCGCAGGGCAGCGGCAGGGGGGCGGGGGCGGGGGTGAGGGGGGGTTGCCCCTCACAGTGCCAGCTGCCCTGCCCGCCCCTGACCCCAGAGGAGGCGTCCGGGCCAGGCACTGATGGTGGCCTTTGCGCAGTCTCAACCCGGACCCCTTCGTGAGACACACTTTCTGGACGCTGGCGTTCGGGGGCGTCTTCATGATGCTGTCCCTGTACGGGGTCAACCAGGCGCAGGTGCAGCGGTACCTCAGCTCGCGCACAGAGAAGGCAGCCGTGCTGTGAGTGCAGGTGGTGGGCGGGCGGGGGAGGGGGCTGCTGGGGAGGGGGCCGGCCGCAGGTGACGCCCTCTCCCCCCACCCCCGCAGGTCCTGCTACGCCGTGTTCCCCTGCCAGCAGGTGGTGCTGTGCATGGGCTGCCTCATCGGGCTGGTCATGTTTGCCTACTACCGCCAGTTCCCCATGAGCCCCCAGCAGGCGCAGGCGGCCCCCGACCAGGTGAGAGGGCCCCGGCCCACCCGGCTGCCCCCCTAAGATCAGTGCTGGGGGGCCGGAGAGATAGCACAGCAGGGCGGGCGTTTGCCTTGCACGCAGCCGACCCAGGTTGCCTTGCACGCACCCGGCATCCCGTATGGTCCCCCGAGCACCATAAGCCAGGAGTAACCCTGAGCATCGCCGGGTGTGACCCAAAAAGGAAAAAAAAAAGATCAGTGCTGGGGCCGCTGCAGACCCATGCGGGGGTAGGCTGTGTGCGCCCCCCCTGCCCGCCCGCCCGACCCCCAGCACGTGGCCCTGCCCCCTGCCCCGAGGAGGAAGCGGCTTCTGGGGCAGGGGTTCAGCTAAGCTGGGTGCAGCGGTGTCCGGCTTCCCCGCTCCCTGGGGTCTGCCGCCTTCACATACCCCCCAGGTCCCCGCGCGTGGTGGGGTGCTGGCCCCGCCCCCAGGAGACCGCGCCCCCTGTTCTGCCCGCAGTTTGTCCTGTACTTCGTGATGGACCTTCTGAAGGGGCTGCCGGGCTTGCCGGGTCTCTTCGTCGCCTGCCTGTTCAGCGGTTCCCTCAGGTAACTCCCCCTGTCCCGTGGGCTGGCAGTGGCGGGGCCCCTTGTGCCCCCGCTCAGCCGTGCCTCCTCTTCCTCCTTCAGCACCATCTCGTCGGCTTTTAACTCGCTGGCGACTGTCACGATGGAGGACCTGATCCGACCGTGGTTCCCCGAGTTCTCTGAAGCCCGGGCCACCATGCTGTCCCGCGTCCTCGGTGCGACCTTTGTGCCTGACAGCTGGGGGGCAGACTCCCCGCGCGCGGAGGGCTGGGGAGGGCTCCCGGGGCAGCCCCCGCCCTCCTTCCTCCCCAGCTGCCGCGGTGACTCACATGCGCTCCCTCCTTCCCGCCTCTCGCAGCGTTCAGCTACGGGCTGCTGTGCCTGGGCATGGCCTACCTCTCCTCCCACATGGGCCCGGTGCTGCAGGTACGGGGGGCTGGGGGCCGACAACCCCTGGCCTGGTGGCACTGGCCCAGTGGCCTCGGGCGGGGGGCCCAGAGGGGTTGCTGCCCGGCCCGGGGTGCTGGGGCCACAGGAATGTCAGGCATGTGCTTCAGTCTGCGGGCTGTCCCCGGAGGGGCCGGTTGAGGCAGGAAAGGGACGGAGGGCATGGCCCAGGGGCCACCCACCTGGGACCGGCAGCTGTGGCAGAAGGCCCCGGGTGATTCCAGGGCCCCGGCCCCGCCTCCCCGCTTAGGCCGCCTCTTTCGCCCACCCGCCCTGCAGGCCGCCATCAGCATCTTCGGCATGGTCGGGGGCCCGCTGCTCGGACTCTTCTGCCTGGGCATGTTCTTCCCGTGTGCCAACCCTCCTGTGAGTGGGGCCCACGGTGGTCACGAGTGGGGGAGCGGGGGTTGCAGGCGAGTGTGGGCGGCCCCATAACGGTGGTCCCGGGCGGCGTCTGTGCAGGGCGCCATCGTGGGCCTGCTGGCCGGCCTCGTCATGGCCTTCTGGATCGGCATCGGGAGCATCGTGGCCCACATGGGCTCCAGCGGGGCCCCCACACTCCCCAACGCCACCAGCCTCCCACTGCCCGGCAACCTGACCGCCGTCACCATGACCACCCTGATGCCCACCACCAGCCAGCCCAGGTGAGTCTCCCGGCCCCAGGCGGGTGGGGCGGGGCGGGGTGGGGCGGGCAGGGCTGCAGCTCCCGGCACCCCTCTCCCCGCAGGCCCACGGGGCTGCAGCGCTTCTACGACCTGTCCTACATGTGGTACAGCGCCCACAACTCCACCACCGTCATCCTGGTGGGCCTGGCCGTCAGCCTGCTCACGGGTGAGTGCCGGGGCCGGCGGGGAGGGCTGCGAGGGTCTCCGAGCCCCACGGGGGTGCAGGGCCCCCGGAAAGAGACTCAGTAGCACGTCTGCCTTCAGGGGGGATGCGGGGCCGCACCTTGAACCCCCGGACCATCTACCCGGTGTGGCCCCGCCTCCGGGCCCTCCTGTCCTGTCAGAAGAAACTCCACTGCGGAGACTGCGTCCAGGAGGTACCGAGCTCGGGGGGGCCCTGGGCAGTGCAGCTCTGCCCTTCCTCTCCCCCGCCCCCAGGGCCGGCCTCTCCCTCCTTGGCGGGACCCCTCAGCCCCGTGTCCCCCATCCACCCAGGACCTCTCCATGGACAGTGCCATGTTCCCCGAGAAGATGAGTAACGGGACGCTGCGGGACAGCGGCAAGAAGGAGCCCGTGACGCGGGCACCCGCGGGCCCCGCGGGCCAGCCGGCCAGCAGTCCCACCTTCGTCCTCCAGGAGACCTCACTGTGATGGGGACGGGCCGCCGCTGCATCTGCAGCCCCGGGATGGGCCTGCCGCGGGCAGTGCGGGGCTGGCTCTGCCCGTCCTGGCCGGCGCCAGCTGCCGGGCCGCCGTGGCTCCCTGTCTTCCCCCACGGACACACTGTCAGCCCCCAGGGTGGCGGGATCCCATGCTGGTGTCTGTGACACCCAGGCCCCTCCCTGTCTGTCTACCTCCGTTCCCGAGAGGGGGGCCTGGGGTCCCCGAGAGGCCTTCGGGAGAGGCAGGCGCACCCAGCTCCTTAGCGGCCGCCGGGGGACTGGCCGGCCGCCCCCTCCTCCGTGCCTGTGTCCCCGCAGCCTCCTGCCCACACGCCCTTGTTCCTGGGGAATAAACACTGTTGTGGGTTGGAGCCGCCGGCTTGTGTTACTTCACCCCTGCGCGCCCCTGGGGAGGGTTGGACCCTCCGGACACACGGGCTGCCCCCTCTGCCGGGCCATCTGTCCCCCATGGGTTAGGAGCACCCACAGTCCGGGCGCCCTCCGAGAACCCGCGTCCCCCTCCCCACTCCCCTCTGGGGCTCTCCTCCGAGGCCCGTGCTCCCCGCGGCCCCCAGGTGGGAGCGAGGTCGGCCCCCTTGGCAGACCCAGGCTGCCCGCCACCCTAGGTCCGGGGCTTGTGAGGGCTCGCCACTTAGGTGCTCGCCTTCCGCACGCCTCAGATCTGGGCCTGAGCAGAGGGAATCTGAATTCTCTTTAGCACTCACACGGCCCCCGCTTTCCGCCCTGTGGTCACTGCCACGACCTGGGCCTCCCCCTGCACCCCAGGACCAGAGCTGCCGTGTGTGTCCCCCCCAGCCCAGCCGTCCAGGAATCTCGACATTCTCACACGCAGGCACCCCTCGTGCGAGACGGGGAGTGTCACCAGGCTCCCAAGGCTGCTGAGTCGTTCCCAGGGTGCTGACAGGCCTGGCAGGATCCCCCAGGCACCAGTGCCTCACCCCAGGGGCACAGCGGCCCCCCTCCAGGCCAGCCAGGAGACCTGGTTTCCCTGCTGAGCAGATGGGTCACTGCTGGGCGCTGCACCCAGGCTGGCCCTACACGGTGCTCCTGTGTCGCGGGCTCCCGGCGTCCAGTGCTGCTGTCGGCGCAGGCTGTACTGGGAGTCTGTACTCGAGCGTCCCGGCCCCGGCCCCGGCCCACCTTACTGAGCGGCACCCCACTCTGCCTCGTCCTGTCCCTCAGGCAGCTGGGCTGCACGTCACCCAACACTTGAGCACAGGTTGTCTGAAGCCCATGAAAGATGGGGGTGGCCTGCCACCCCCCCAAAAGATGCTAGTGGCCTGCTTACTTCCCTCTCGCATTTCTGCATGGGGGGGGGGGGTGCATATTCAGCCGTGCTCAGGGCTTACTCCCGGCTCTGCGCTCAGGGATCACTCCCTGCAAGGTTGGGGGCTGTGTGGCATACTGTGACCGAACTCAGGAGGCCTACATGCCAGGCCAGCATCCTACCAGCTGTACTCTCTCTCCAGCCCCACAGTTTTCATTAGTTTTGGTTCGTGACTCACACCTGGCAGTGCTCAGGGATCCCTCCTGGTGATGCTCTCAGGGATCCCTCCTGGTGGTGCTCTGGAGGCCATGTGGGAGCGAGCCCAAGTCAGCCACAGGCAGGGCAAGCACCCTACCTGGGATACTATCACTCCAGCAGGACTTGGCTGGTCTCGGGGGCGCTCCTGCTCCTGCCCGCACCGGGCCCCATCCTGCTGACCCCCAGGCCTCTCTGCCCTCTCCTGGCCCCCACCCCACAGAGTGAGGGCACCGGCCCTCTCCTGCCTCTCCCCTCGGGCCCTTCCTGACTCCTGACCACCCAGACCCCAGATCCCGGCCCAGCCCGCCCCAAGCCCCCTGCACTCACCGCACACATTAGAGACAAGCCAAGGCCGCAGTGGCTCCAAGTTGGGCCTTTACCCCTGGCTGCTCTGGAAGTTTCTCCCAGAGAAGGTCTTGAGTTCAGCATAACAACTGAGCACTGTGGGACCGTGAGGCGAGGCTGCCCGGGGGAAACCGATCTCCTGTCTCCAAACGAGTGTGGACACAGGAGTCTGGCCAAAGAGCCAGACACAGAACTGTACGGAGCCCTGAGATCCGGCCTGCCTTGTTTTTGCTGGAGGGTTCAAGCTTTAAAATAGAAACCCAAGAAGATTCTAACTAACCTTGCAGGGGGAGATTCGCTTTTCTCCTCCTTTAGTCTGTGGGAATCAGACTGACCCTCAGCAGGCTCTTCAAACCCAGACCTTTTCTTTTCTTTTTTTTCCAATTTTTTCAATTTTTTAATTTTCCAAATATTTTTTATTTTTAGGTAAATAGAAACATGAAAAAAGACAATGCTCAATTGAGAAACTTTAAGGTTCTGCTCAGTTTTATTGCTTTTTCAAAAAAATTAATTTATTTTAAATTTTATTGAATCACTGTGAGATAGTTAACAAGCTTTCATGTTTGGGTTACAATCACACAATGATCAAACACCCATCCCTCCACCAGTGCACATTCCCCACCACCAATATCCCGGGTATAATCCCCCTGTCCCACCCTTCCCCTGCCTCCATGGTGGACGATATTCCCCATACTCTCTCTACTTTTGGGCATTATGGTTTGCAATGCAGACACTGAGAGATTATCATGTTTGGTCCTTTATCTACTTTCTGCACACACACAAATTTTTAATGAAACACTATGAGGTACAATTACAGACTTAGAGACTTTCGTGATTACATTTCAGTCATACAATGGTCGAATACCCATCCCTCTACCAGTGCCCATTCTCCACCATCAAAGTTCCCAGTGTCCCTCCCGCCCACCCCCCACCAACCGCCTCTATGGCAGGCACATTCCCTTTTACTCTCTCTCCTTTTGGGTGTTATGGTCTGCAGTACAGGTATTAAGGGACCATCATGTTTGGTCTAAACTCTACTTTCAGCACGCATCTCCCATCTTGAGCGAGCCCTCCAGGCATGCTTTGCTTGGTGGTCCCTTCTCTATCTCATCTTCCTTTTCCACCCCACATGTGAGGCCGGCTTCCAAGCCATGGAAGAGTCTTCCTGGTCCTTATCTCTACTGTTCTTGGGTGTTAGTCTCCCATTATGTTGCTTTATATTCCACAAATGAGTGCAGTCATTCTATATCTGCCCCTCTCTTTCTGACTGATTTCACCTTTAAGTTTTATTCTTTTGGTTTTGGGGCTACACCTGGTGGTGCTCAGGTCTTACTCCTGGATCTATGCTTGGGGATCACAGTAGGGTTGGGAAGGACGGGAGGATCGGGGATTGAGCCTGGGTCAGCCCTGTGCATGACAAGCAAATGACTTACTTGCATCTTTTTCCAGTAAACCTATGTCTTTGTTTCTGAAAGTTGGATTTCTTTTTTTTTTTTTTTTGAGTCATACCTGCCGATGCACAGGGGTCATTCCTGGCTCTGCACTCAGGAATTCCCCTGGCAGTGCACTCAGGAAATCCCCTGGCAGTGCTCAGGGGACCATATGGGATTATGGAATGCTGGGACTCGAACCCGTGTCGACTGCGTGCAAGGCAAACGCCCTACCCTCTGTGCTATCGCTCCAACCCTCTGAAAGCTGAAATCTCTTGCCCTAGCAACCAAAGCAGGAGAGAGACCCCGGAACTAGTGAAAGGAAGGAGATCATCTCTGAATTCCTGGGACCTGGTCTCTGTATCCCTGATTTTTTTTTCCCCTCTGATGGAGGGCACACCCTGTGGTGCTCAGGGCTAACTCCTGGCTCTGCACTCAGGTGTTACTCCTGGTAGGCTCAGGGACGGTGGGGATGCCGGAATTGAACCCGGGTTGGCTGCCTGCAAAGCGAGCGCCCTCCCTGCTGTCCCATCACTGCATTTTTGCCCCGCTGGTGGCTGAGGGAAAGACTCCCGGCTGGTTGACATCTTCTCCCCTCCCAGGACTTTCTCAGAGAAACCACCTCAGGGGTATTTCTCCAAAATGGGCTGGAAATGGGTCCCCCTTGAACTCAGAGCACTGGCCTTTTTTAATTGTTTATTTTTTGGGGAGGGGGCACCCTTGGCTCTGCACTCAGGAATCACTCCCAGCGAGCTCAGGGGACCATAGGAGGTGCTGGGGATCGAACCCAAGACAGCCACATGCAAGGTAAAACCCTATTCACTACATATCTCCGGTCTTGTGACCTTTCTGGTTTGTTTGGGGCTAATCTCGACTTGCTCAGGGGTCACTCCTGACTTTGTACTCAGGGTCACTCCTGACAGGCTCAGGGGAGCATGAGGGGAGTTGGGGATCAAACCTGGGTGCAAAGCAGCACCCCACTCACTGTACTATCTCTTGGGTCCCACAGCACTGGTCTCTCTCGAAGCATCTCCAGCCCGGCTTCCCCGCAAGACTTGGCCTCCCCTGGCCGCCCCCCACCAGGGGGCCCCAGAGGCACCCCACAAGATGCCTGTATTCTACCCCTAATGGGCTCTCACGTCATCCCTCTTCGCCCTTTTTTCTCACCTCCTCCCTGAAGGGCCCCTCGTGGCCGCCTTTTGACGGCTAAAGGGCCAACTGTGCCCAAGATCCCGCCCCCCTCCACGTCACCACCGTCCCAGGCCTCAGCACCACAGCCCCAGGCCGCCTTGGAGTCTTCATTTTAAATTAGAGAAGACTCAGACTTTATGTAATTTTTACTTGTTCTTTGTTTGACTTTGGGAACCAGGCAAAAGTCCTAGACCAATGCGTCCAGTGCCTCATAGTTTTCTAGGCTGCTGAGGGACCCTGGCACCTGTGGGAACGTCCCCGTCCTGCCCTAAAGGCTTCCTGATACCCCCAAATTACCTGCCAGTGCTCAGGGATTACTCCTGGCTTGGTGCTCAGGAATGACGCCTGCTAGTGCTTGGTGGACTTGATATGCTGGGGACCAAATCTGGGTTGGCCCATGTGTAAGGGGAAACAACTGAAAAACTCGATTCTCTGTAAAAATCCCAGAGTAGAATAAAGACGTTTCTCACTTTTTCCTTCTCTCTTCTGTTTATTGTTGTTTTCATGACAGGGCTCACACACTCCGGGGTGAGGTGCTCCCACTCCAGGTGAGGTGCTCACACTCTCTGTAGTGAGGTGCTCACACTCCGGGTGAGGTGTTCACACTCCCCGAGGTGAGGTGTTCACACTCCTGACTGCAGTGCGAAGAGTCACACGGTGGGTTGCGACTCTGGGATTGCACACAGCACTATCCTCAGGATGGTGCTCACTCACCATCTGGGGGCTGGTTCCAGGACTCAGATGCGAGCCTCATGCCCAGACCCTCTTTTCTGACGCGGTTCGTGAAGGAGCTTTCTGCATCATGGGTGAGCACAGCCCTTTCGACATGCTGGCTCCAG